TATGACTGAAGAGATAGTAATGGGTCCTTTCAGTTTTAATCATTTTAAAGGTGCTAAACAAGACAAGGATGATTGCTAATTTGTTCCATTATTATAATTTTTACAACAGCATTGATGTTTTTCCCTGAACTATGTGCAATATAAGCACACAAAAAATAATCACTGAAAAAAAGAAGTGCTGTTAACTTTCTCTGAAGCTTGAGTTCAACAGAGAAATAATACCTTGGTAATGACAACGATTGCCTTTACATTATCTGCATTTCCCCTGTGCTACAATAAGACTTCTTCCATGTATTTGTGCAGAAACATCAAAGATAGTCTCAGGGGATCTACAGAATTGTAATGGGTTTTCTCTTTATGTAAACAAGCTGCTTTAATTGGCTTAATATGTGATATGGAACCTACCAGCAATTAGCATCTTTGATCAAAATCTGCACTAAAGCCAGTTTCTTTCAGAATGTTCCATTTGCATGAAAAAGTAGATGAAGCACAACATGTTTGAACAGAGCAGAATAGGTATCCGTATCAGTATCTTTTTTTGGTGTACATATTAATAGCCACCACCTTTACACAAAATGTCCAGTGGACATTTTCTGCTGGACACAATCGATTTACAAGATATATTGGGTTTGAAAAGCAAAAGAGGTTTGGCTCTTATAATTCTGAAAAACGGCTCACACATGTAACTCCTTTAAAAAAGCTTTTCTTCTGAAACAGATACAAATTCTAGTGGCAAGAAAATAATCAGATAATATTGAAGTACTACCTCACATACATCTCAAGACAGGGTAGGAATGCATGCACTGTCAAGGAAGTCTATCAGCTAAAAACAGAAGACAGAATTATTGCTTTGTTTCTCCAACTTCTGCTATAGTTGCTTTTCAGCACTTAATTTGAAATCTAATTATTGTTGACAGAGATCGGGAACCAAGCATATTAAAGCACCTAAACTTAGCGTCCCTTGAGAAGTCTGAAGGAATAGCTTTGCCTTTTCTGTTTGTGTGCAGAGCTCCATGTTTTAACCTCCCTCATGTTTTCAAATGCCACTTCTGTCAGAAGCAATGTCTCCTCAGCTAAAATTGCTGCAACCATCTCTACAAACAAGTCAAGGACCAGGTTAAGCCAGCTGAGCATTAGGTTTATATCTGAGTATGTTGTAGACATGTCAGCAAGAAAATTAACTGTGTGTTAGCATGAAGGAAAAACAAGCAAGACTCAGCAATGGATTAATTCAGGTCTCAGACCTGCTGCAGACGTCTGTCTTCATCGTAAGTAGTACTGAGGTTTGCACTAACTCGCACCTCCTGAGGGGTCACTCCTGCTTCTCGGACCCCTCCCAGTCCTCTCTGTGTCCTTTACGCTCCTGCACCTCCTCCCACCCCCTTCCTGCCTTTGCCGCTCTCTGCCGTAGCTGCGCTGCTGTCGGGGTGACTCCTACCACCCTACCAAGAGCTCTTGCAGGCAGCACTGTGATATTGCAAATGTTCAAAACCCTGACAGTTATTACGGTGCCCTTGCATCTCTCATCACTCTTGCAGGCACCACACTTTTGGCATGCTCATTTTCAGCCTTGTGAACAGTACGTCTTGATGAGACTGGCATTGGAAAGACGTGTGAGTGGAAACTGTGAGCCAGTGCTTGGTTTATCCATTGGGTTAGCTAAAACAACATGCCTGGTGTCTTTATCAACATTGCACACTTAGAGAGTGCTTCATTTCTGGGTGCTAGCTCATGCCACCTCCACATTTATCTGAAGAGAAACCTTTTACAGCACTGCCTCAGCACTACTTACTGCTGTCCGCTCAGCCCTGCTGCCACGAACCCCGCCGTGCATCCAGCCTTCCCCACCTCTGTATGCAATTTCAGCATCTCATTTTCTAATTGGAAATACTTTGTACTGTAATGTGAGGAGATGGCAAGCAAGCAAACAAGCAAGGACACTCCATGTCTTACAATCAAATCCATTTGATTTGAGCAGTATCATATTTTCCACCCATCTGGCTAGACTACGTGTGCCTTTGGAATGAAACAACTTACAGCTATACTCTGTTCTTCAATCCATGACCTCCTTTGCAGGGGGCAAGAGAGGCAAAAAGGGACAGAAACATATTATTCTTCCATTTCTGCTGTTTGCCAGTTAGAAACATCCCAAATCAGTGCAAACCTTTAGTCAAAGGGAAATTTTGTTCCGCTGGTGCCAAGTTCTGCATAGCAGAGCCAAGCATGAATGCTAAGAGCTGAAGTGAAATCATGCTAGTCAATGAGGCAGAGCCTGCTTCTGCAAGCAGCAGTTCCTTTGAATTAAGGGTTATACCTTGGTCAGCACATTGAACTCCCACTGTGGGCCCTGGGATGCCAAGAACGAGGTCAAAGAGGTGCAACATTATTAATGCTGTGTTCTAAGAACAAACCATTGTCCGTTCTGCCAAACTGTGCTTTCGTTCTTTCTCAAACCCTGTGCTCACATTTATTGAGTGCTGGATATTTGTCGGACTAGTTCTGCTAACCATTACATATTTCATATTGCACTTAGCATTTCATCAACCATGAATAAATCTGGACTTACAGAGGGTAGGTCACAAGAAAACAGAACTTCAAGACAAAAAGAGAAGTAGATTTATGGAGAAAAGGACAGCTTAAAATAGATTTTTTTTTTCTAGTGTAATTGAATCTACATTCATTTTCAATTTAAAAAAAAAAACAAAAATGAAGTATTGAGTCATTACAAGGGCCAGACAGTTGTCAGAGCTACACTGGGTTGAACTCAAATTATACTGCAGTAACTGCTCAAAGGAAGTCCAGTTTAGAAGCAATGAAGTAAACAATTTCTTTTCCTTCTAACCCGCTTTTGTCCTGCTGCAATGCATAAATTTTTTACTTACAGGAATATGACATTTCCATTACATATCTGTGCTTATATAAGTATTTACAATCTTATTGATGGCTGCAAATTTGTTAAAGCTGCTCTAAACCCTTTCAATCGAATATACTCAGTTACACCCCAGGGAATAATTACTGCCCTCAGTTGTAGTATGACATAAACCCTTTCAATCTCATTTCCGTAACATTTGAAAATAAGCAGCTCAGCCTTAGCAAAGACACTATTAAAAGGCTTAGCCCAATGTGGATGATACTCAAGGCAAGAAGCATAATTAAACTTTCTAGTTATTTTATTGGTCTGTTCCCCAGAATCCCAATCTTTCAACAGTCAGATCATCACTAAGTGTTATTAGCAGAAAGCAGTTTTCCTTGTTCCATGATGGGAAACGCAAACAGGCACTAATACCAAACATAGTGGACACTTATTTCTCCACAGTGCTTGTGTAAATGACACAACGTGTTGAGTATTACATGGTTTAACTGCTGCTTACCCACCTTACATCTTTTTCAGCCATTTTACTTTCTGCTAAGGACAGAAGTGATAGAAAAATAAGAGGCAGATTAGAGAAAAACTGAAAGATAAAACAACCCTAAAATGCTATGCCTGTTAGTAAAGTAGCATGAATGCTGCGGAAGACAAAGGTATTTTCATCTGCCCACCACTGAGTCTGCCACTTGGAACCTGCTGTTCATCCTGGTCTCTGATGTAGAAATCAGGGGCAATAGTTCTTAAAAACAAATAAGCTGTTTTGTTAGTAGCAAAATTAACGAGGCCTGGCCTGCTGCAGATTTGTGTCTCACAGGTCATGTCCCATTGGATTCTCTAGGGTTTAATAAGAGATGAGCTGGCACTGCAGCCTTTACCACCATGGAGGAACTAACTCATAATTCTCTCCTCTACCCACCTGTGAAGTTTCATAAAACTTGAAGGAATTGCACACCTTTGAAGTCTCTGCCTCACTGCTGAACTTGCCTGAAATTGGTCAACACATTCAAAAAATGCAATGGGGAATGGGGAGCAGAGAAAAACACAGACAAACATCATGGCTTTATAAATCTCATCCTTTGGGAAACCCAGCTAGAAACAAAAGTTAAAAGCAGAGAAATACTTCCAAATACATCACTGAAACTTAACGGCAATGCAAAAAAGTGATATTATGGAAGAACTTTGCCTACAATAGTGACAACAAGACTGCATTTACGAAGAAGAGAACAGGAGATCACAACAGACTGCTTGTAAGTGAAGTAGTTACTTGTTAGTAAAAAGCAAAGTAAATCCATCATTTCCTCCTTTGAGCTTAACACTACTCTTGATTTATACCAGTGAAGTCTCTGCATTATGAAATTAATTATATTTCATGATGCTTGGCCATAATCAGCCTACTGTAAAATGCACATTGGACATGCTGTTATTCAACCAAGACACTGCTATTTTTTGCCGAGAGCAAGGAAAGTGTAAGACTTTCCACAAATCCAGTCCTACACACTTCCCTTTACCCAGATACCCCAAGGACTTTCTATGACTTCCTCACGTAAACAATAGCAAGGCGTTTGTAAAGCCAAGCTAAATCTAAAAACAAACCACACAGTGTCATCAGATCCTGTCTGACTGAGCCAGGGGACCTTGACAGCAAAAGCTCTGGGTTTTTTTCTTCTTTTAAAACCATATAGTTTCAGGAAAGTGTTCCTGACTTAAACTTCTTGCACAGGATGAGATCACTTATTACGGTGAGCTGATCATGTGCCTCGTTGCTGCCCAAACTGGCACAACCCATGCGTTTTGTCTCTCTTCCCATCCTTTTCCCAGTTACGTGGTCCTGGACAAGCTCTGGCACTCATCTGACCCTGCCCTAGGTCGATTCAACTCACTAAACCAGCAGGGAAGTAATTCAGTAAAAAAAAGCAGGCTGCTTCTGTCAGAAGTGAAACCATCCCTTGCCCTGTACAGATGGATTCACTGGCCGATTCATGCTTCTCTGAAACTTCTCAGAAATGGTGAAACAAATGACTAATGTTTTGAAGCAGATGCAGCAGTTTTAAGTCAACTGAAAATCCCTGCTTTTCATGTTTTTAAGACATTCTGATACAAAAAAATTAAAACAAAAAGGGCTGTTGCTTACCATTTGTCTTCTGTTCTCTACCAGGTGGATGCCAACAATCCCTAGGAAAGATCCAAAGCCAAGCTAAGGCAAAGAACAAAACCAACAGAAACACATGAGGTCAGCTTATTTGGTCAACTTACCAAAGCATTACAGTGATACCTGAGCTGATGTATCATACAGATGGGCTAGTTTCGGTAGGTCAGGGGAAAGGGTGGAAGTTACTGCTGGACATAAATCACATAATGTAATAGAGAATGACCAGAACTGCAGCTCTTTGATATTTCAAAGCAAAACTTGTCACGTAGTAAATGGAAGCCTGTACAGACATACGCTTCTATAACCTGGCTACCGTTACCATAGTCACATATAGTTTTACACAGCATAAAGCAAAAATTAGGTGAAGTAGGAGAAAAGAACACATACATTTAGCCCATACATCATTAATCTGGAAAATTGCAAAGCTTTAGGCAACTGCAGACAAACTTTCCTCAAAAAATGGATGTGTTGCTGCCACACAATAGACCCAAGTTCAAACCTTTAGGGTTCAGTTTGTTCAATTTTAATGACTAAACACTATCACACATCCCAGAAAAAGTTCTTGCTAAAATGCCAAAAGGACCAGTACAATTAGTTTCAACATGGTACAGCTGCAGCACCAACAGCCACAGGAGAGAGAGGGGGAAGGGATGCTGGAGTAAGCTGGCCTTACTGTTCCTACCAGTGCTGCTTCGACACCAGGCTGGCAAGAAAAGCCCTCTTCTTATGATGGGCCCATGAAGGTTTGGAGAGGTAGAAACTCCTTGGATTCGTTGTTAACATGAGGTAAAGCAGCAACAGGCAAGACCAGCCTTTCATCAGACCTTCCTGGAGTCGGGACCCCCACAGGCTTGAAGAAAAGGGGTCTCCTTGGTGCCACACACCTGAGATGTAGCTGGCCACAGACTGAGAAGCAGTCAGGTGCAGGTGTCAGCCGGCTCTTTCCACAGAGCTCCCTCCTTGCCTTGCCTGGCCACACGCTGCCCTGCGGTCACCTCGGTATCAATCCCCCATCACTTCCACTCTCCTTGCTTCCCTCTTCACTGGGGCTGACATTCCTCCCTGCCCCAACACACCCCCTGTCACCCCCTCAGCTCCCACCCACCCCTCCCCATGGACAGGGCATGACATTTCTGCTAAGGAATCTAAGCCCCCTTTCTGGAATGAGGTCTCTGAATCTGGTTCAGAGCCTCTCCTCCAAGCACAAGTTAAGTTTTTAAGGACTACACGTCCCAGCCAAGGGCTTGAGCAATGCCCATGAACTCCTTGCTGTTATGCACAACTGCTCACAGCAGAAAGCAAATCTCCTGCAAGCACTTTACTCGCTCAGTATCACAACAGGAATCCGTCACTG